TACATTGTCTGCATGGTCATTTACAAATACCTTTTACATGTGGCTCAATATCTATGCATGCATATGAACTCAGGCTTATATGTTAGAGTGGTTAGTTTTAAAGGTCTCTCATCAGGAATTAACACTCCAAAGATGGCTAGATAATACTAAAAATAGTCTTATCAAAATCTTACTGGAAGGTTTTAAATTCATATAAGGAATGTTAGAAATATTTTTGAATAGGTAAAAATAAGTGATGGTCCCAGACATGAGCCCCACTGCTCTTGCATGGATGGGTATATAGCTCCAGCAAGTTCAGTGGTCAGGCTTTTTGTACAGTGTTTGGGGTCTAGCGTTCCCTTGGTCCTGTGTATTTCTCCTTCATGAAGGCTGTGATTGACTCTATAAAAGGCTGCTGGTCCTATCACCATTCTGTGTCTACCTTCGGACTATTATGCTTACATTACTTGTATTGCCTAAGAGAATGGGTCCCCAAGGCCACAAGAATCAATTGTAAGATTGTTCTTGTACCTGCTGGTTAGTAAACATTTGTGGCTTTGGCAGAATTTGGTCTAAGACCTCACTTGGTGTAGAGGTTGTAATGTAGAGGATGTGGGCTACCACCCACATGTAAGCACCAAAGGCGACTGATGTCTACCCAAAGAGTTCTTTGAGTGAACAACCTACTTAGTTTGGGTCAGTTCAGAACATTTGATTTATTTTTATATAGCTCAGGCTTATATTTCCAAAACAAATGAAATAAAAAACAAGGCTATATGTAGTTATAAATAATAAAATAAAAAACAAGGACATAAAAGAAACATGTAGTTTTAGGAGACACTAAATGCAGAGGTATGGACACATTTTCTAGGAACAGGAAACCACCTTCTACCAAGGGAGGAAATGTACATGACTCCCTTCACCCCCTCTTGCCTGGCATCTGGATCTCCTAGGCCCTCCTAGGCTCTGCCTTTCTCCAAATGTTGTGTATGATCTTTTCCCTGCCTTGTGAGAGACTAGGTTAATCACTCAAATTCCCCCATATTGCACAAACAGTATCAAATAGCCATTATGTGTGCTGGACACTGTTCTGGGCAGCGTGGTGACTCAGTGGGATGAGTTGACAGGCTCCTTGGCCCTGTGCTCTGTTAACCATCCACTCTTCTGGTTTGGGCCTTATCCACAGCCAAATGGCAGACCTGTGAGGACGGACAAGCAATAAAACAGAGAAAATGTTGGCCACCAGGACTCTCTTAGGGAGAGCTTTCTATTTGATGAGAAGAAATACATCGAAATGACAATTGGAGTGGAAGGTGAAGTCCCAAGGGCCTTCTCCATCAAGAATATACGTCTGCTAACCTGCTTTGCATGAGACAAGGGGAGGAATAGTATTGCTCCTAAGAGAGGGCACAAAAGGGGGGAGGGCAGGGAGGTGGAGGGAAGAAAGCACAACCACAATGCAATTCCAGATTGATGTCCGCTGCACGATGCCACCCTTCGTGGTGTGCCACAACCTTTTGCAGCGGGGGTTCGGGATATGAAGAATGGGCCGACGCACAAATGAAAACACTAGACAAGAAATATGAATTTAGAAGGCATGGGGGCCAGGTGGAGACCTCTCTCTTGGAGAGACACACTGAAACCTGGCCTTATCCGCTTTTTATTCAATTTTAGATACACATCTTGCCCTCAGTAAAGCACGGCAAACAGGTAGCAGACAGACTGTCTCTAAGGTCAATAGAGATCAGTAAAGATCAGTAGGGTTCAGTAAACATTTACTTTGAGGCTATTAGGTCAGGAAATTGCTTTGAGCCACCGCTATCTCAACAGAACAATGGTGCTTGGCATTAGTCCTGCTAACGCCCAAGGACTATCGGCCTTCAGTGTTCCTTGGTGCACCCTTATGACAGTATTGGGAAAGCGGTGCTTCCCGCAGTAGTGATGCACAAATCTTTGGTAAAATATACCAAATGAATGGGATGTTTAGTTTGCATGATTATCTTGTGGAGATTGATGAAGAGGTTGAGTTTGGTTATCTAGACTAAAGCTGAATGCTACCTCTCTCTTTTTTTGTTTAAGACAGTCTACTTTCTCTCTCTCTCTCTCTCTCTCTCTCTCTCTCTCTCTCTCTCTCTCACACACACACACACACACACACACACTCATTGCCCTCTCCTCCCCACACCCCCTCATTGTGATAGAGAGGAGCACTGGGTAGAGTTAGGGAAAGGAGAATTACTCTATCACACTGTTAAATTACAGGCTGGGGAAACTAGTGGGCTTGAAGAAATGGGCATGGTGCCCAGGGCTTGGGCAGCCATGAGTCAGAGGATCATTAGACAATGGAAATCAACAATTTATAAAGTTATCAAATGGACCTGTGATTTTACTCAGGCCAGCGTCCTTTCGGTGGTAGGCAATTTGGCCTATGGGTGAGAAGCATAAAGAGGGTAGGTTCTGGAATCAGACACAGGTGTTATGGGCTGGCTAGTAATGGCCATAGGGCAGGAAGCTGGATCCCAAATATCAAGTGTCAGTCTTGTTGCATCCTGCTCCCTCCACTCTGGACCTCACCCTGATCCTATTTAGAGCTGATAAACCAGAGCTTGCTCACAAGCAGAACACATCCTCCGGTCCAAAACACACCCCCTGCTGAAACAGACTTCATGTGCCTCTTGGTCATGTCCTGAAGGTAGCACATTTCCCTAATGGGTTTTGTTGTTGTTTTGTATTGTACTTTTACCTTTTTATTGTGGAGAATTCTAAACATACACAAAAGTAGACAAAATAGTTTAAGAGCTCCAGGTGTCCATCATCAACTCATGATGAAGCCTGTTTACCTACCTTTACCTCCTGTGTTCTTTTTAAAGAATAGCCCAAAAATTATATAACTTCACCACTAATATTTAATTATGTATCATTAAAAGATACAGATTCTTTTTCCACTATCACATGACTCATATAATTAACAATATCATATTATTCTTAATATTCAGTCTGTATTCAAATTTCTTTTCTCATAAACTCAGTTTTTAAATTGTTTGTATGAATTAAGATAGAAAGTATCTTCATTATTTAAATAAGATTCACACATTGCAATTAGTTAATATATCTTTTAGGACTCTTTTAATCTATGGGTTTCTCTTTTATTTATTAAAAAAATCTGCTTGTTTATTCTGTAGAGTTTCCCAGAGTCTGGATTTTTCATTCATCCCTGTGGTGGCATTTAATATGTTACTCTGTCCTCTGTATAGCTTGATCAAACTCAAGTTCAGTTTTTTAGCCTTGGAAAGTGGGGTTGTGTTCTTCCATCAGGAGGCGTCTAATGGTTGTCTGGTCGTCTCTCTCCTGCTTGTTTTCCCTCCTTCTTTACATCCTTCTTTCCTTTCCATATCTCATCTTCCTGATTCCTGGCAGGGGAGCCAGAGGTTGGGTGTATGGAGTGAGGAACTGCCTCTTCCTGGGTTATTGCCCCACCTTATCCCCTTGCTTCCTGTCTATGCTGTCAACATGGCTTTTTATTCCTTTGGGGGCATCACGGTGCCGCTAAATCTCCTCCCAGGGATGGGTGAACAGACATGCTGAGAAAACTTTGGAGAATAACATTTCACTGCCTTTGCTCTTCTATACTAAGGAGTGCTAAGTTTGAGCCCTGCCTGACTTTTTAGTAATTTAGATAGCAACCAGCTATCAGGCAGGAGAAGCACTACTAGTAGCTAAAGTACTTCCTTCCTGACCCATGTGGAATGGGAATGTAATTTCCAAATACAATTTGGTGCCCAGAGTTCAAATTTAATGCTTGAAATCTGAAGTCACAGCTGTATCACAAAAGAATGTTCTCTAGACCTCCTAGAACAGTGGTTCTCAACCTTGGCTGCACATTAGAATCACCTGGGAATCTTTAAAATACTGATTTCTGGGCCTCATCCCCCTGTCCTAGAACATGATCATCAAGGGACTGCCATATATAAAGGATTTTGTTTAACCATTTATTGCCCACACTAATATGGAAAACCTTGTCCAAGTTCCAGGCTATTTTGTTGATTAGAAGTTTAGGGCGGGGGGAGAGGGGGGAATGTTATCAGTCATCACAGCCAGCATTTCTACAAAATAACATTTGTTAGATTCAGCAGCATTTATGGAGTACCTGTTTTTATCTGACCCCAATTTCTTCATCTTAATTCTACCTTGTTGGATCCTAAGTGTTGCAGATTCTGTTGTTGGTTCACCCGTATCCCTCTGGCCTCCTCTGAGTTCACATGCAGCTGGAGTAGGATAGTCCATGGGCACACTAGCAGGTTCCTACCTCACATGCCCGGTATTCCCTGCTTCTCTTCCTGAGGGTTTTCTCCTGTTCTACAAGAAATTACCAGATCTCTTACAGCATTGTGAAGGTGCTGGTTATTTAAGGCTCCCAGAGGCATCTCTCAACCACTGAGATGAGAGTCAATGGATAAATACCAGAGCTTCCCCATCCCTCAGCAGGAGAATTCCGAGATGTGTTCTCTGTAGTCCTCCAGAGAGTTCTTAGCAGAATTGATTCATAGTGGACTTCCCTGCACATTGATTTATTGACTTTTCTCCTTTCACAGTCTCACTTCCTTCACTGTCTCACTTGAACTTCCAGTAATACCTTCCAAATAAGCCACTATACCCAATTCCTTGTGTTGGGGGTGGGGGGTGGGGAGGGCTGCTTTTGGTGGTGGTGGAGGGGTGGGGGGATGGGACAGAGGGGAGGGAGAGGGGATCTAAGATAGGAAATGATTTTGTAAGCTACCTCAAAATCTTTGAAACAAGTGAGTGTAAATAATTAAACAAATTAAATATTAAGTGCCGAGTATATTCATATGTTCATTATCTCTAATCCTACGAGTTGATAGCCCCATTTTTCAGATGGTAAAACTTAGAATAAAAGACATGAAAAGAATTGCTCAAGATAATATAACCAGTAAGAACTGAGATGCAAGTCCATAATTGCCATCAACATTTTTTTTGGCCTCTTGTTCTCCATTTTCTTTCAGATGAAAGATTTTCTCTAATAGCCAGTAGTAGATTTCTGAATTGTTCTGTTTGCTTATCTATATTTTGAATGGGGAGAATTTCTTGCCAGTTGAACTTCAAGTTGTAAGTAAAAAAGCCTATCTTGATGTCTCCTAGCAACAATTTATGAAACACTTTAAAGCAATTATTCTTCTCAAGCACGTTTCCAAATGTTGAAGCATATTCATTCACTTCGATCATTAAAATTCCCAAGAACATTCATTGTGGAGCCCGTAGTTCTGGTAATTATAAGCTTGTCAACAGGTTGCTTAGTGAGCTGAGAGAGAAGACAGACCACATTCCCCTCAAGGAGCTGAGCCCTTTGTTTCCAGTCCAGCAGAGCAGGGCAGACCCACTCTTCTCCAAAGAAGTCTTAATTGACTTGTGAAGTATGGGGGTGGGGGGATATTTAAACCCAAGATAGCCATCTGTATAATGTCAAGCCCATGGCAACATTGAATACTGAAGGCCTAAGTCCCCCAAGCAGGCCGCTTTCTGCTCCTCCTCCTCTGAACCCAACCCGAAGCCAGCCCTGCCTGGATGTGAATAATCAAAGCCAGGCAGGAGACCCGTCTCCTCCCTTAAAAATGCAGTTCTGCCCTAAATTGGCTGCCAATTTGTGCTTTTTTCCTTTGTCTTTTTATAAGAATTCTCTTTTATTTTTATCCTCTGTAAAATGTTTTAGTATACATTTTACAGAGGAAGAAACAGTTTGGAAGAGGATCTGGATAGCTGGTGGTCACACTATTGGCTTAGCAAACTGAAATGCCAATTGGGCAAGTTAGAGAGTTGTCCGAATGAGCTGTAGTGGGGGAGGCAAAGACCTGACTCTTAATCCACTGGTGAGAACATCACAACCAGGATGGTGACTTTGGGCCCAAGTTAACACCCTTGGAAAGTTTTAGAAGAGGGGAAGATTGGATTTCTTGCTCATCTGGGCAATAACTCTAAAAAATGTTTTTTGAACCCTTTTAGAATGACAGAAGAGTTACTGTATGCCCATATACCCTTTATCTAGCTTTACCTAATGCCAACATCTTACATAACAATGGTACACTTATCAAAGTTAAGAATCTGTTGTACATTAGGTGTCCTTGTGGAGGGAAATTGTATGAACCCCAGGCTGATGAAGCTGGATGTGTGCACAAACACACACACGTATATATACATATCATACACACACACACAACATATAGGTACACACAACACATACACACGACATACATAAAACATACAACACAGAGATAGAGATACATGATGTACAAATAGACACACAAAACACACATGCATGCATATACACACAGAGAGAAATATAGACACACATACTATACGCATGCTGTCTCCCAGAATTAGGGGCTCATGTTATACACACTGAGACTGTTGCTTGATGAAACTTGATTTAGTTGATGGAGGCAGTAAGGAGCTGAGAGAGAACTAAAGAACCCTGCTAATGAAAAATCAGGGGAAGTAGGAAGACTGATCCTCTTCTACCTGGAAATTGTTATTTCTTTGTGGAGATGGGGCTGCTGTCTATCATTGCAATAGTTCGGGTTGCAAAATCTGACCCACCTAGCAGGTTGAGGGAGACTGGTTTAAATAAGCGCCTATGTAAATTCTTCAATGCCCCCCCGCCCCCCCCCCACACACACACACACAGGGAGGGGGAGGTATGGCACTCTAGATTGTCTGGATCTTGAGGTGAGGGTGGGGCCAAAAATAGAACTGTCTTCTCAAGTTCTGGATGAAGAATAAGAGAATTAAGGGAGAGGGTGGAGGCTGACATCTGCCCCAAACCTGTTATGAGAGCATCATAGGCCTGAAATGGGTATCATTCACTGAATTATAGAGACGGGTGTGCCTTAGATACGTAGGAAAGTAGGAAAAGCAAAGACCAAGTGGACCAGACGTGTAGAATGGTACTTGGGACAAACCACAGGGATAATGGTCTACTTCTTTGCCTGATTCTGTGTGGAGTTGTGTGGATAGGTGTATCACTTAAAGGAATTAGAGATATATGGATTAAAGGGACTTGATAGTTAGGTTAGTGAGCATATTAATTATTTATTGCTAATTATTTATCCTGAGGTGTGGGCAGGGCCAAAAACAGGACTGTCTACCCTGAGACTTAGGGTAAAGTTCTGGATGGAGAATAAGAGGATCATGGGAGAGGAGACTGTCCAAAAAGAGTGTATTAAATGACAGTAAGGATTTGTTATCCCTCATAGTACCTGTTGGTCAGGAATTCAGGAATGGCTTAGTTGGGTAGTTCTGGCTCAGGCTCACTCCTGAAACTAATGTAAAAATGTTGGCCCAAACTGCAGTTATAAGACGGCTTGACTGGGGCTGGACAATTTGCTTCCAAGATGACTTATACACGTGAATGACAAGTTGATTGATGCTGGTGGTTGGCAGGAGGCCTCAGTTCCTCACCCATGGGCCTCTCTATAGGGCTCCTTGAGTGTTTACATGGCATCGTGGTAGCTTCCCCCAGAACAGATGATCTAAGAGAGCAAAGCAGAAGTCCAGTGTCTTTTGTGATCTAACCTGGGAAGCTACAGTCTGTCCTGTCTGCAGCATCCTGCGGTTATGAAGGTCAGCTGTATTCATTGTGAGAGGGAATATCCAAGGATATGAATATCAGAAGGCCATCTTGGGAGCTGACTATCACATGACTTTTAGCTTTTAGAATAATTTCATTCAGGTTAAAAAGCGTATTTTAATTATACCTTAAAAGCAAGTTGGTAGTTTGGTGAAAGCCAAAGTTAGGTATCCCTGATAAGATGAAATTTACATGGGGACCTGAAGGAAATGTAAGTGATGGAGAGAGTGTTGAGAGATGAGGTCAGAGCAGTGTGTGTGTCAGGAGGTGGGAAGGTATAGATCATGTTTTGGCCACTGTAAGGACTTGGGTGTTTTATCCTTTCCATAGTATCAGGAGCCTTGCAGGAAATATATGCTTGAGTGCTTTTGTCTTCTTCCTCTCTCTCTCACCTGTCCAGTTGAAATGACATATAAGATTTTGGGAAGCTGTGAGGGAAGGAGATCGGAAAGTGTGAGACAGAGTAGAGGACCTGGTAGAGTTTAATAGTAGAAGTCATTGTTATTGGTCCTTTTCTTGTACACATTTTATTTCTAAACTTGAGATCATATTCTCTCTGTAATTTTGTATTCACCTTTTCATAATCATTTAACTAGGTCATTAAAAAACTTTTAATACATTATTATTCTTTTTTTATTCCTCACCCAAGGATATTTTTTTCCATTGATCTTTAGAGAGAGAGAGTGGAAGGGAGGGAGAAGGGAGATAGAGAGAGAAACATTGATGTGAGAGAGACACATTGACTGATTGCCTCCCCCATGAGGAGGATGGAACCTTCAACTGAGGTACGTGCCCTTGACCAGGAATCAAACCCGAGACCCTTTGGTGGTCTGCAGGCTGACATCCTAACCACTGAGCCAAACCATGCTTAATATGTCACTTTAAAAGATGGATAGTTCTTCTCTTGCTGTACATACTCACTACAAAATTAAACACTCTAGAATTATATTAAGGAGAAAGAAAAGTCCTCCCAAATACCACTTCCTAACCACTATTGAGGTATAATTTATATTTTCCAGATATTTTGTATATTTGTAAGTCTGTGTAGAAAATGCTTATAGATATTTTGAAATGTTCTGTAATTGATTTTACTTAAATATCACTATCATGAGTACTTTTCATTGTCAGTGAATACCTGATAGAAAATATATTTTTCTGATTAAAAAAGTAATAAATACTTTTTAAAAAGTATCATTTTTATGATTATGTAATATTCCATCATATAGACATCATCATTTATTTAAGTTACCCTGTTATTTCCACCATTTTGTTATTATGAACAATCCTGTGAGAATTATATTGGTAATTTCCTTCTGTTTCTAATCCTCAATTGTAAGTATTAGAATTTCCATGTCAGGCTTTAATAACTATGCAATATGTATTTTCTATTTGCCCCCCATCCCAATTTTATGCATTATAAAAACAGTAATAGGTCTCACCCTATTTTTTTTCTTAAAAATACTTAATGAACAAACCACCTTGTAACAATGGTGTAAAATTTAAAAATATGAATAAAAAATCACAATCCCTTCACCATAATAAATCAACATTAGTTTTCCATATTCTCATTTACTCCTTTTTCATTTACATATATATTTTTAGAGTAGGGCTGGGCAAACTATTTGTTGGATCAGATAGTGGTGTTATAGGATTTGTATGCCACACAGTCTTTGTTGAAACCACTCACCTCTGCTGCTGTAGGAGGAGAGCAGCCAGAGACAGTATATAAATGAATGAGCATGGCTGGGTCCCAATAAAACTTTATTTATAAAAACAGGAGGCCATGGCCAACCTGTGTTTACTAACCCCTGTTTTAGATAATTGTTCTTGTAATTTAGATGAAATTATTTGACCATTCATGAACCAAACTTCTAACTTTCCGAAGTTGTTTTAAAATGTTAATTATTTAATTTCATTTGTTGTTATTTCCCCCCAAATCTTTTCAACCATCCTAAATCTATTAAGCTGAAGTTCCCATGATGATTTGCTATTAGTAATACAATGAATTCAATAAATTTACTGATTATAAAAATACAGAACATTTCTTTGCAATGGGCTTCAAGAATGGCTCTTAAGCCCTGACTGGTTTGGCTCAGTGGATAGAGCGTTGGCCTGTGGACCGAAGGGTCCCACGTTCGATTCCGGTCAAGGGCATGTACCTTGGTTGCAGACACATCCCCAGTAGGGGTGTGCAGGAGGCAGCTGATAGATGTTTCTCTCTCATCGATGTTTCTAACTCTCTATTCCTCTCCCTTCTCTCTGTAAAAACCATAAATATTTTTTTTTTAAAAAAGAATGGCTCTTAAAAGAAAAATATTTATGTATTAACCCCACACCAGAGCATGAGTTATGATTTTATTCTGTCTTGATTTATGAGCTTACTTTTTGAGATTATGTTAGTGAAAAAGATAATACAGCCCTAGCTGGTTTGGCTCAGTGGACAGAGCATTGGCCTGCAGACTGCAGGGTCCCATGTTCCATTCCAGTTAAGGGCATGTACCTTGATTCCAGGCTTGATCCCTTGATCCCTGGTAAGGC